CAAGACAGTCACGTGGATTCATGGATCATCTGTGTGTCACCTATAGAATTTAACATACTGAATTTGTGGATGACGCGCTAGGGTCAAGGCGGAGCTTCCCCACGTTGAGGATGTCTTTGAAACTGAGAGGTGGACTAATTTTTCTAATCTAAAGGGTCGTGTTGATCTTATTAAGAATGATATTTCATCATACTCATCCCATTCTTCTTCTTCTTCTTCTTCTTCTTCTTCTTTGTCCTAATCATTCTTACCCTTCCCATTCCATGTTTTAACCACAAGTGCTTGCTTTTACCTTTTCTTTTTGATTACATTTGTGGTGTAAATGTCTTAATTAATGCTATTGTTGTTTTTTAGTTTCTTATTATTGTAGATCTCCTCTGATGCAGGGTACTCATTACTGAAATGTGTTTCACTCTGACACAGTCCGAACGGGATTAGGAGAAGAGGTATCACATGAATAAAAAAGCTTAAAGGTGGTGAAAAAAATAGAGTTTATGACAAGACTTGTTTACAAAAAGTTTCTTTTTATAGTGGAAGTGTACAAATAAAGAGAAGTTGTATAAGGAAGGACTACTACAAACTCAAAGAAGGAGAAGTCCTGCATCTATTAAGGGTTTCCCAAGAACTTTACTCACTTACAGTGAGAGCTACAAGTAGAATACAATCAAATAATAGAGAGTTTAGGTTGAAGATTCTAGTGCATTGATACAGAGAAACAAGATTAAAGAACACGTTCTATAAGCTTATCCATTCTAGTTCTTCAGTGTAGATCATTTGGATTGATAATTTTTGAGTTGTAATATTTTGTTTCGATAGATTAGATTATTCTTCGAGTTGGAGGCAACTTGAAGATGTGTTCAACAGTCAAGGATGGTTGTTGATACAAACGATTCAGAGTTAAATTCCTAGGATTTAGAACTGTTATAGTCTAAATCTTTTTTGTAGTCTCAGATTTTTTTGAATTTTAGTTAAATCCTATATAGGTTTAAGTTGTGGTTTGTACCCTTTGTGAGATGGGGTTTTCCATGATAATTTATTGAGGTATTACTCTACTTTTTCTTAATTAACGCAGTGCCAATAATTTATTAAGGAAAATATAGAGTATATTTTTTCTTTGTATGATTAATGGCTCAATATTCCAACACAAACATAACAACAAATAGATATGAAAGATATATTGAAAAACAAGACTTGCAAAATATATAACAATAAAACAATATGAAAACAATAAAACTAAAGGCAACTTAAAAGAAATCTTGAAAATAATGCTGGAGGTTGGAACCTGGAGTTTGAAGAGGAGATTGTATGCACTCTGATGCAAAGGAAAAATAATTCCAGCCAAATTTATAGCTTCTTGGTTGTCGGAATCTTGTTGCTTTTTTTGGGTAAAAAGGTGACAGTGTCCTGGAGGAGAAAAAAAGGGGAAACGAAAATGATGGATAAATTGCCAAAGAATTGTCGTGATGTCTAAAATGGATAAACCCTAGAATATTTTTGATAAGAGAGTATAATATTTTACTGGAATTCACGAAGAGAGTGGATCTGAGATGCAACAATGAAAACGTGTTGTTGGTTTATATATACTGAGAGGGGAACTTATTACAAATTCTCTAAATCTAATGAACGCTTACATGTTGACGCTTGAGGTACAATAATTTATTTTATTTAAGTGAAAATCTTACTATTTGTGACCTTTGGATAGTAAATGGGAAAAATCACACCCCAAAAATAAGATAGAGTGCCCATATATTACCTCAATAATTTTAATATATAAAATGTGATAAAATATTCTTATATGTGATATTTTTATCTTTAATCTTTTATATTTAAGAATTTAAATTTAATTTTGATTACTTGATTTCATCATTGCATACTAGAGGCACGACTAATAAGAATTCATGCCAATTTTTTTTTCATTTCCAAAGCAGAAACCAATTCTCTAATACATATTGAAATTTACATATCATCGGTAGAGATCATTATTTTCCTTAATTTATTAACAGATCTATGAAACAAGACACACTTGTCGCATTCAAGTATAAATGATAAGCAATTAATTCAAATTACTATTTTATATTTCTTGTTTTCTTCGAGTAAAAAATTAGTCTAACAAATAAGATTTTTGCATTATTACTATTTTGTATTATCCTACAAAGAGGAAACAGTTAGTTTAATTGATTTATACTTTTTCATACAAATCTTTTTGCCCACCAAGTAATTTTTCAAACCATACAAATAGACAAAACCCCTTTGATTTATAAACCAGTATATTCATATCATTTGTTTTATTATGGTGTATGCATAGACCTAGACAATTGCAAAAGTGTACTTGTTAAAAATTCCACCAAAGCTCTACGATCTTGTTAAACTCAAAGAAATTGCGTCACTTTAAAAAATAAAATTTAAGAGACCATACAAATTAAAGTATTGAAAATGTAAACAACCAAGATATCTCAGTGTCTCATACAAAAAAAGTGTTATTTTTCTAAAAATATGAAGCCTACAATAAAAGTTCAAAATATCTCTCAATCTTTTAATAAGCATATGGGGCTTTAAATAGAAATGTTACAACAAAAAATCTCTATAAGAAAATTTACGCACCTAAAATATCTATATGAAAAGACAAAAAAACCTAATAAAAATTTAAATTTCAAATTCATCCAAAGACTAGGAAACCTATGCTAGAAATTGCTAGTGTAACTTGAAGCAAATTTCAATACTCATCCTTTTCTTTAGTTACCGCAAATTTAAAAATGTTATTCCTTATTTTTTCGTAAATGATTGGTGATAAATTATTTTCATTTTTTTTGAAATTGTAAATTTGTGTATTTTTTTTATGCTTAAAAGATAAGTTTCCAAATTTTTATTCATTCTTACCAACAAAATTTAATAATCATCATCAATAGAAATTTGTGGGGCATTGAAAGAGAGAATATTGCTTGTCATGGTTAAAAAGTTATTAGAATTATATGCATGTTAGATATAAGCATGGTTGGCAATGAGTTGAGAATAGTCCTAAGGGGGTTAAAAAGATCAGAAATAGGTAAGGTGGTCAAAATGAGTTTAAAGTAGCCTTAAAGGGTAAATAATAGTTTTATAGAAAAACTCACAAATCATGTAAGATCATTTAGGCTCTTGATATCCCTGTTGCTATGGGGCAACAAAAAAAGCGTTTAAAATATCTTCCAAACATTTTATTATAGGGATTTACATATCCAACTTTAAACAAAAAAACTATAAAATTAGAAACTTAAAAATCTAAAATATATCAACAAAGTAAAACAACATAATGAAATATAAATTTCAAATTTATCCTAAAAGTAGACAACTTATTATGCTAAAAAATACTACATATCTTAAAGAAATTTTAACAAAAAGGTCGAAATAAAAAAAATCATGATTGAACTTGGGCTTCCTAATGGATTAATCTGTCATGTATGACGATAAGACAACTAATCACATGATTGGAACTCCCAAAACTAGAATTAGGAGTCGCGACTATGGTGTCTTCTTGGAGACATTTGATGGGTTTTTTTGCGATGGAAGTTGATTTTTTAAAGCGTTAGTTGGAAAGGAGTGAAATATAATAGGGGTGAATGAAAGAGAAAGGGAAACAATTTACAAGGGAGTGTGATGGGTGTGGAAATTTAAGGGAAAAAAATTAATGGGTATGAATTTTATGAAGTATAGATTGTGTCACGTGTAGAATCAGGTGGTCTTTTCTTAGGATTGAGAACTACGAAGCTAAGAAAGATCGTGTATAGTTCCATGGTTCATAGAATAATTCCATGGATTGGTTCTTGATACTTAGAAAATTTAAAGTCATACTTAAGATCTACAAACACAATCGATGGACCATGGTTATATTTACGCTTCGTAAAAGATGGTCATATATCTAAACATGCAGCTCATAATGCCATACCCACTATGAATGTCATCTATGGTCCGTAGGATAAAATATGACTCGTAAATGGGGCTCCTAGAAAAATTTACGCCGGTTGTATGTTTCTATTAATTCTACCATGAGATTCTGATACTTATCGCGACCAATTACACTAACTACGCTTCAAGTGTCTACGATTGTCGATAATATAGTAACCCAACCGAGGGTTGAGGTCATGTTCCAAGGGAGCAGTTTCGAGAATATGTAGCTAATTAGAATTCTATTATAATTAGTCGTAGTTAAAGAAATTTACGAGTAAAAACATAATAAATTAAAAAGGGGGTGACATGAAAGTGTCAAATATCAAATGGGAGGTTTGTCAAAAGTATTAAAAATGGTAAAATTAAAGAAAAATCAGGTATGAGGGGGAATTCTTGGGATATGACCACTATACAAGTTAATATAGATTATTGGTTGCATGCTTTCGATAGAAAATTAGCAGATAAATAGTTAACTAAGCTAAGTTTTAATTGGAAATAAATTCTCTCTCGAGCAACTTACCCCATGTTGACACCCAATTTTGACCGACCTTTAACAATTTGAGGATTTTATTTGACTAAATACGTATTTTAAAATTTACTTAAAGTTTTAAAGTTTTAGTCGACTTTTCTCAAAAATCATATATTTTAGTATCGTTTACTTTATAAATTTATTTCAAATGTTTTAAAATTGAGGTGATTTTCAATTATACAAAAATATTTTAATGTATGTAGTATTTTAGTTAAATAGTAATTCCTACACTTTCCTTAAAATTATTTAAATTCTAGCCTATTCTATTTTAATTTCTTTCAATTCGAGCTACTCTAATTAAATTTTATTTCAATCATAATCCCTCTTTCATTTTCAATTCTAGCCATTTTAATTGCAATTTTATCCATTCTATATCTTTGTCAATCTAATTTCAAAACATTATCTTTTAATCTCATCCGTCCATCTTAAAAATAAGCGAATCCTAACCCTTCATCTCTATCTAATCTAACGGTTGTGATTAACTCTCTTATTCTCTCAACATCAAATAACTAAAACCTAAACTTTTTCACTCTCAAAAACCTAAACTTTTTCACTCTCTCTTCCTCCCCTCCCTTTCTCCAGCCGCCTCTCTCTCTCTCCCCATTCTTGCTGGCGAGCCTCCCTTCTCCATAGCCGTCGCTCCTCCTCCCCTCTCTCTCCTTGCCTGAATCCCCTCTTTCTATCCTCTTCTCCTTCTCGTCTTGCTCTTCCCTCTTTCTGACGAGGAAGCTGCTACGACCAGCAGCTGGACAGCAGTAGCAGCCAGGTGAGGCCATGGCAAACAGCAGCTTCAACCGGCGACCCCTCTTTCCTCTCCTCGACTCCTCTTCTTCTCCATCTCTTCCTCTCTTCCTTTCTTCTCCGCTTTCCTTTTCCCGTCACTGGCAGCACTCAGGCGAGCTGCCAGGCACCCGCGAAGGAAGACGGATAGAAGCTCCAGCGCCAGCCGCCTCCCTCTCCCCTTCTCCCATCACTCCTCTTCTTCTTCTCCCTTTCTCCGTCTCCTTTTGCAGCCAGAAATTAGCGGGACAGCAGCCTGCTCTTCCTCTCTATTTTCCAGCGAATGCAACCGCTCAGACGTACCAGCAGCAGATCAAAACCAGCAGCTCCAATCAGCCCCAACAGTGACAGGTTTGGCCATATATTCCGGCAAGAACGACATCGAAATCCGGCGAAACTCAAAGACGGATCTTAACAGATCCATCCAGGTTCGATTTCTCTATTTAGTTTATTATCCAATCTCCTAATGTTATTATTGTGTCAATACATAAAATTTTCAGCATGTTTAATTTGGAAAAATAAGTGGCTTCAGCTTGAGTATTTTCGTTTAGCTTCTTTACTTGTCATTTAATCTTAGAGTACGTTCATTGTGATTATGTCATTTGGTCTACCAAAATAATTATCGTTGGAATGAGCTGCCCATATGATTTGATTATCATATATCCCCTCTTGATGTAATATAAAAAAAAGAAATTGGTGATTCATTTTACCTCTCTGTTTTCATTCCGTAATCAATTGTAAACCTTTTGAAAATTAGAATAATTTGTTATCTAGCTTAATTACGGCATATAATGAAATGTTGTTATAATTGTTTCTTTGTAATTCAATTTTGTTAATACATTATCTGTGATTCACTTCATTCCATCTATCATAACCTATAGAGTTAGAGTAACTTTGTAACGTCGTATTTGAATCACTTAGTTGTCTTATCGGAAATGGTATAATAGCTTGAGTTATAATTTAATTTCAATCCAATTTAATTTATTTAGTTGAGCTCATTAAGCTTAGGATTTGCTTATGGTAAGTATATATTGATGCAATTGTGATTTGTTACGGTATCTTTTAAATGGTATTTGTTGATTTCTTGTATCCCTTAAAATATTATATTCATCTTTTGTTGATAATTTATTACCTTGATTAACTTTAATATTCTTACATGTTGTATTTTTAGAAAAGTGATATTTAATTAAGTTAAGAGAATTGCATTGATTTCTTACTTGCTTATTTATGGTAAAATAATATTTTCTGATTTTGGCTTCGTTTATTTAAGGAAAATATATATTACTCTTCTCATTTTATTACTTGCTTATATTTGGTAAAATATTTAAATAACTTGGCTGATTTGACTTCCTTCAAAATAAGGAAATAGTATTATAATTGATTCTTTAATTTATTTATTTCCCTTATTAAGTCCACCCCTCTTTGCTATATAAATAAGACCCCTTTTATTTATTAGAAAGAATCAACTCATCAACTCAACAACTCATACACTCATTCACTCTCAATCACAAGTTCTCATCACTCTTCATTCTCATTTCTCTCTTGCTACTCTAAATACATTAAGATTTCAATAGACATTCAAGTGCTCTTCTTCGCTATCTTGCTTTTTACTTTTGTTCGAGTAAAGGTTGGATCAACTTGCTTTTCATTGCTACCATTTCTAATGTACTCAACCGTTATTTGACTGCTTTAACTGGTTTCAAACTTGAAGTTCAAGTTGAAGATCAACCATGAAGAAAGATTTATTTGTTTATTTGAATCTATATTTCTTTTTCTTATATTTATTTATTTGAATGTTGTAACATTTGTAATCATATATATAAAATTATTTGGGGGATCGTCTAGGGGAGGGAGATTTACATGCCTACTTGTTCATTGTAATTTTTTAGAAATCATGCCTATAGGTTTGTCTTTAACCACCTAGATTTAATATTTGTAGGCGTTATAATCTAATCAATTTTCAATTTGCTTGACGCTTTTGTTAATAAGTCTTAAAAAATAATAACTAGATTCCATTAATTTTTTAAATGTTAAAATCAAATCCTAATAATCTAGTAGGTTGTTAGATGTTAAAAATATATTATAAATTTTCATTTGTCTTATCACGTAGAAACCATGCCTAAGTATTAAATTGTTCATATCATTTACAAAATCATGCATATATATGTTACTCTATTATTTAAACACCTAGAAATCATGTCTATAGGGTTGTAAATAAACTTTTAGCATATCCATAAAAAATAAAATTTGTTTGTGCATATTTGAGCCCTCCCCTTAAAGTTAGTTAATATTATTTAATTAGTAATCCTATTTGTTTTCCGCATTCATGATGCAATATTTTTCTTAATAATACTAAATTAGAATCATTTCATGCATTTAACAAATTACTTGGCTTTAAAAATATTTCATATCAAAACCTTGTAACATAATTTTCTTAAAAAGTCATTATTCAATCTTCCTTTAAAACTTTGGATTGATTTTGACATTGTTTATTTTGAAAATAAATTATAAGCACTATCTCCTAACCTATCGTTAGTGAAAAGTCAAAGGAACTACGAGGTCTAGTTCCAATTTTTAAACCTGACGCGCCCCGGAAGTACCACTTACCCATGAATTTCAAAAGGAATTATGTGTAAATATTTATGTGCCTAAATGTAAACTAAATCTTTAAATCATTTTCTAAAAGATAAACTACTTTTAGACCGACCTCAAATCAAAATTGTTTCTATGGTGGAGGAGCGCGATCAACAATATCGGCATCATCCCTATAAAGAAACAAACATTTTTTTTAAAAAAAAATAAAAAAATTTTATATTCAAAACTTATCAATTTTCAAACTTTACTTTTTGCACATATTAATCGTTTATCATTTGCCAATTTTGTTTATAACATAGTCTCATATGCTTAAATAAAAATAAAACTTGATTGTTTATTTATTGCTATAGCCTACCCTTGCATGCTCAAATTAATGAAAAATAGTATTAATTATTTTGTATTTGTTATCACTTAGGAAGATTAAATAAATCAATAAAATGAAGTGACCTTGATTGATAATTGTAACCCCCACATAGATTGCATGAGATACGGCCTGGACCCACACTTGTGGACCTCGAGGGATGCCTAACACCTTCCCCTCGAGGTAATTTGAACCCTTACCCTAATCTCTGGCTCGTTGACCTTAGTTAGTCTTAGTTAGGTTAGATAGGTGCCCTAACACGCCTTAATTCGTTAGGTGGCGACTCCAAACTCGAAAATCCCAAAAGAGTTGTTAGGTCGTGCACAAAACTCGTTTTTTGCGAAAATGGGGCGCGACACCCCGTTTCAAATGGGTTACTCTCGGACACCCATTTGCCGCATGAAGACCAGCCTACGCCTTACCCACTCTCTCTCTCGAGCTGTGTGTTAGGAGATGTGACTATGGCTCGCCCTCTCGGGCTGAACCTCATATTGATGTACTCCTTAGCCATCAATCTAGTGGTCTTTTTTTGTGACCTTTCTCTCTCGAAAACCAAAAACACATTGTTGAAATTGTATTTATAACTACAAATCCATTAGATTAAACAATAATGACTAGACGAAATCACAATTAAACTACATCTAAACTATTTGCAAGCAAGACCCAACAATAATACTAACTCATATTTGCTAAATTACACCACAAGAACGGGTTCTTTTTAGCCATATATAAAGAAATAAAACAACATACATTCAATAATGTTGAAAGCAAATGGGTATAAGAAGGTAAGTCTTGATTTAAGAAAAAACAATTGAGAAGAATTACTTTCAATTTGGGGAGTATAAAATCCTTCCATATTGAAGTCTTCCAAAACCCTTCTTCAAACTTAACAGAAAATATGAAAAACTAAAGTTTAATGTCTAATGACTAGAATAATGTTAAGACTCTCTAATTAACAACTAAACCTAGTATTTATAGTTTTCAGATTTTGTGTTGCGATGGGTCGTTCGGCGAGGTTGTTTAAGGTCACTAATGACTCGGGGACTCGCCTAGTGGATTTAATTCAGCCTGAACAAAGTTAGAGGGTGTGAATTCCTAAATCCATTTACCTCATATAGTTCATCCCCCTTTTGTTATTTCACAAAACATCATTGAGTCTTGGACTTTGGGCAATATAGTACTTCTTCACAGAGCAGTTTGGTGGTGCGCAAACTGCTTCTTTCTCCGATGATTTGATCCTCTTCGTTCAGAGCTCAGCTGCTGGAATAAAGGAAAAATTATAATCAATATAAGGTTTAGGAATTAGACACAACGCTCACACTCAAAAAGAGGAACACAATGCATGTTTTCACCCATATGCTTGCCCTTATTTTCCAATCAAGAATATTTCTGGTTTCTCAAACTCAGAAAGGTTTTTTCAAGGCTTGTAATGGGGCTGAATGTTAAGGTATGGTTATTTAGGCTTAGTTAATAAAGATCCTTATGAATTGTGGTGCCCACAACACTTCGTCTTATTTACCTGCTTTTATTAATTTTTCTTCAAGTGATTCTAAGTCATCCTATTATTTACATCCATGAATTGATTGGAAACCCAAATTTCTTTTGTACACTTATTGTACAACCTTCTTTTTAATTATTTTCTTTTATTTTTATTTTTTCTCTTTTTCTATTTTTTTTACATGGAGGGTTTCCATTCCTTTGCAATACCATGGGTTAAATTAGACTTTTCTTGCACTTCGTGACTTCCCTTTCCTTTTCACTATACCCAAACTTTAGCTTTTATCTTAACTTGGTTATTCAGTAAACCAAAAGTCACGAGGATTATAGGTAGAAGATGAATTAACGTCTATATTCTAACAAGTTTCTTCCAAAGAAAGGTAAAGTTCAAGGTTGTTCAAGAGATGTTTACAGACCCACATTGTGGGTCACAGGAGAGGTATATGTCAAATTGACTCACACTCTTCCAAAAGTGCCTAAGATTATCCAAGAGGAAGCATTACTCAATTGACTGGACTAACAGGGGAAATTCTAGTTTTATTGATGCATGGTTCATTGTAAGATTATCACATAAGGCATCAATACTTAAGTTAAACAAAACATTAAACTTTAGCTACTGTGCAACAATCATTAGAAGAGAATCAATTTTTCAATTGGCTAATCACAAAAAGATGTAAAAAGTTTACATATTGTGTATGAATATTCATTTGGTCTCGGTATGGCCACACATTCATGTATATTCAATTGAAATCACTATTTAAATTATCTGAATTGAACGGAAATGATACTTAACACGAGAACAACCACTATCAACACAAGCGGTGGAAAACATTATTGAAAAGTAATTCTTTTGGAAGGTCCATTTTGCAATTAAAATCAAACAATGGAGCCATAATATTAAACAATCGCACAAGAAGTATTAAAAAAAATATAAAACAACAACCCAACTATATATATGAGACAAAATCCAATTTA